TAATCTAATTCTCAATGTGCTTGAAGACATCTTTCACAGGTATATAGTATAATGGTTAAGGTATTTGATGAGGTCTGGGAAGACCCAAATTTAAGTCTACCCTGAGCCTTGGAGACTCACTGGGTGACTTATTCTCGCACCACAATCCACTTTACAGAGTTGCTTTCATGGGGATAAAATTAGGGGAGATTCCTCCCCCATACACACATACACATACCAATATGGCTTTAACTGTAGGAGATGACCTGGCTGAGCCCAAGGGCGGGGTTAAATGCATCTTTAGTTTGGAGTCTCTATGCCCCCATAAGAGACCTACTGTACGTCCACCCCACCCCATCCCCCTTGAAGTCCATTGACTGTTATCTGGGGTCAATTTGCCTTAACCCATAGTAGATCAGATTCTTGTGCATAGTTTGCATAGAATAAACTCATAATGCTTTTGAACTCTGTCCTGCTTCCTGATTTCCTGAACCTGACATTAACCTAGAGAATAAGCAAAAACATGAATAAATACAATTTGAATTGTATTTATTTGAACACATTCATCCTTAACTCTGTTGAGCAGTCTCTGTTGCTCTTAATAGCAGGAGATCAGTAACTCATTACAACTTGCTAGTTTTAATAAAATGATCAGCTGGCCAGAATCTAGCAGCACATGCAATTCTGAACACACTACTATTTGTCCATATATTGCTACAAGAACTATGCTGATTTCAAGTAGGCATCCAGATGGAATTTGTTGTGCTAGTTTTCTATCTTTAAAGCCCTACATGGCATGGGGCTAAGTGACACATGCAATTTCTTGTCTCCAATGGTTTCTGGCTATCCCACCAGATTTGGCAAAATAGGCATGATCCAGTCTCAGGTCTGTCCCAGTTTGGGCAAATAAGAAAGAAAGACCCTCGACTCCATTGGTAGTGAAAGGTAAATTTTACTAAAGGCCAAGTGGTTACAGTGTTAGAAAGCCAGATCTGAAGATTCCCGCATAAGCCCAGGTCACTAACTTCTCTCCCCTGGTCATCTCTCTAGTGTCTAATAAAGTTCAAACTAGTTGTTTTGGTAACAGTTCTGAGGATTGGCACTCTTTGATGAGTGGTTGCATTCCATTCTCATGCCTGTGTCCTTGGATCATTCAACTTATGTCACTGGTGGGCTCTTAGAGTGATTTCATCCCCCCTCCCTGTAGTTCCCCTCTTCCCACATTTTATGGTAGGTTGCCATCAAGCAAATCAAAGCTGAAGCAATGAGATGGCAGATCTGACATCCAGATCCTTTCTACAATGCAATATTACTCGGTCAGGCCCAGAAGGTACAGTTTTTCTGTCAGAATGCCTGCCCTGTGAAATAACCCCCTTGCAATATTCAAATGAGCTCAGTCCTGCTGGACATCCAGAAGTCCTTGAAGTCTCGGCTCTTGTAACTGGGGCCAGGATATTAGTGGAGCCTGATATGAGTGTTCTAGGATTCTACCCATGATAAATTCACCAAGACTCCAAAAGAATCTAAAGGAAAAACAGTAATAAAGTTTAACTATGGTATTAATGCCATTTCAAATATCCTTCAGAGAGAAAACATTCTTTTAAGGTGCAAAGCTATTAATAAAAATAAAGAGATTGTATTGGACTTCAATTCCTATAACACCTTTCTCATTTGCAATGGTAGGAGTTGATATCTACCAGAAAGACCTAATCTGAGAGAGAGAGAGAGAGAGAGAGAGAGAGAGAGAGAGAGAGAGAGAGAGAGAGAGAGAGAGAGAGAGAGAGAGAGAGAGAGAGAGAGAGAGAGAGAAATTTAGAACATATTTGGGATTGCTGGAAGGTATAAAATAAGAACTGCTAAATGCCTCAGCAGCAGGCAGGTTTGTGCAAGAAAAGGTGGTGTTCATAAACCTGAAGGCAAAAGATAAAAATCACAGAAACTTTCTACAATAATTTGAGGAAAGTTCAGAGATAGAGTGGGTTGAAAAGGCAGGGAAATTCCCTAAATAAAAGATATATTTGAGCCCAGGCTACCTCAAACATCATACAATGTGATGTCTCCACTCACAACAGAAAATTCCCCCACCTACATCCACTTAGGAAATCAGCTTCAGAATTTGGAAGGACAGGGATTCCAGGAGGAAGGGGAGAATTATTTGGCCAACATTATCTGCTCTCTAACCAATAAATGTCAGTGAATAATAAATAGTATACATCTCTCTATCTATCTATCTATCTAGATATAGATACAGATACAGATATAGATATAGATAGAGAGAAAGAGAGAGAGATAAATAGATAGAGATAGATAGATATAGTCTATATCTATATCATATATAGATATAGACAGTGCTTTTTTTGAAAAAAAAAAAGGTGCCGGAACTCACACACATCATACAACCTGCCTTGCCTACCCTACAAAGTTCCACCCCAAAAAGGTGCCATAACTCCATTCTGAGCATTCTATGACAATAAAAGCCCTGGATATAGATATATAGATATATAGATTAGAGATTGAGATAGAGAGAGAGAGAGAGAGAGAGAGAGAGAGAGAGAGAGAGAGAGAGAGAGAGAGAGAGAGAGAGATGGAGATGGAGATATATACAAAAAGATATAGATAGATAGATAGATAGATAGATAGATAGATAGATAGATAGATAGATAGATAGATGATAGATTTAATACAAATAATAATAAATAATAAATCCATATTTCTTGCCTTGCCTATTCATATGAAAGCATATCATTCAAAAAGGTGTTTCAACATGTCCATCTAAAAGCCTTGAATCATCCACAGCTTCTCAACAGATCAAGGTAGCTGGCTGGAGGCACTTCTAAGGTCTTCACAGCAGAGCAGTATCAAGAAGAAGGCCCAGAGGGCTATTTTGCTCATTGAATGCTATGCACAAGCCTAATGTTGGCACTATACCAAAATCTAGCTTGTTAAGACATCAAACTAGAAACTGGGAGACTCTTGGGCTCAAAGCCACATGCGTTGCTTGGGCCAGTTATTCCCTCAACCCTAGGAAGGAGACAATGGAAAACAATTTCTGAAAAACTTTGCCAAGAAAACTTGTCCATGCATTCTGTAATAATTGGACATAATGGAATGGAAGAAAAAAAATGTCTGCCATAGACAGCCACAAGGTAGAAGAGGGACATTACTGTGAAAAAAAAATCAGATTTATTATGGGAAAGAGAACATGAAATGTGTATATGCAGAATATACAACAAATATATAAAATATACACATTTATATACATATCTCTATACAGAGTATTATAATTACCCCTTGGATAGGGTACCAGGAATGGCTTTTCACCTGAAATGTGTCTCAAAGGAGAATTTCAGTGACAATCTTATGGGTGGTGGAGATTGCTCTAGCTGTTATTAATTTACAAGTCAGGTAAGATGTGTGCATATGTGGATGCTATTTTTCATGGATATCTCCTTCTCCAGAAGCCTGACATTGTGAAAAAAAATCCTTACAAGCAAGACAACATGAAAGGAAAGACATTATGAAACACTTCATGAAATTAAGATGTCATGAAAGGACAAGATGTTATAAAAAGGACATCTAAGAAAAGTCATCCTGAAAAATACCTTACAGACTTTTTTGGAACAGGAAATGGGGTAATCCACACCATTATAATAAGAAAAGTGAGAACTAAAGTGTAGCAGAACAATCTCCAAGATTGTTGGAGTAATATCTGATAGACTGGACCTCCTTTTAATATTGGACTGACATCAAATTTTTGAGGTGAAAGATGTTAAGTAACATTTAAGCAGGGAAAGTGGCTGGTGGCAATGTTAGTTTACTTTCCTTTATGTAAGAGAGTATTGGAGATTCAAGATATATTTGCAATATTTGTTTTGTCAGCAGAAAATAATATCCAACTAATAACGGGCTATCCCTCTCCTGAAGCTTCACCCCTATGTTATCTCATTTTTCTGATTGCACACATTTTATACTTCAATTTTTTTCACATCCAGATGCCAGGTTAATTGAAGGGTTAATTGACCACTGTAGCAGACATGAGGAACTTGCAGCTGTCTTATCACTCCATGTTGCGATTGTTTATCTACCCCTAAGACAACATTTGACTGGTCCAGATATGCACCACCAACTCTTGGCGGAAGCATTATTTAATATGTCATTTTTATGTACTGTAGCCAGACATTAGAGCTCAGATCTCAATCTTGTAGTCTAGCCATAATGGCATCATCTTGAACATAGCGGGATTTATTTCTGAGTAAATATATCCTACTAATAAATCAGACATCTCCTTAAGAGAGAGACAGGGAAGCATGAGGTGAGGTGGATACACAACACAATATTTTCTGGAAGTTTTTTTTCATATATTTTCAAAACATTCAATAAAATTCAAAAATATGATTCTGGGAGATTCCAAGAAACTAAGACTGTCTATGACCTTCATGACGACCAGGCTGCAAATTCAAACATTGTAATCCTGTCCCGTCCCGTCCCATTCCATCCCTTCCTCAACCCAACTTTGTCTGTTCATGAGCTGATGTCATTTTGACAGTCATCAATGCTTTCCTCTAGTCTGAATTCATATGATTATGACTTACAAATAATCTTAAAATGTTAGTCATCCCATGCCAGGTCTGTACCCTATAAGGAATTGACTGACATAAGTTGGTAAACATTTTTAGTTCTTTGTTTACATCCTCAGTAAAAGCTGGAGCTGTACGATGAAGTGACACGATGAACTCATTCTCTGTACTTTAGAACTGTATCATTTATTATAATTACTATAGCTATTTACCATTATATTAATCAATGTTGACTGAACATATGTACTCGGACACAATCTGCTTGCTAAAGCTTAAAAATGTTATTGTGGGGGTAACCCCAATGTTGTTTCTAATCCTGTCCTAACCCCAATCCCGATCCTAATCTCACCCCAAAACTTAATCCCTATCCCGGTCCTAGCCCTTCCCCAACCCTATAAAACTCAATAAAAATTTCTATTAAAAAAAGAACTGTATGCATAGGGTATTCACATATATACATATGTGCATATGCATATGCATATACACATGGTTAAAAAAATAGAGAGCATACAAAACATATTGAAGATATGCTTCCAGTTAATAGTTAGAACATAAATGGTAACTTTCTTGTGCTTAAAGCATGGAAGATTGCAACATCTGCCAAGATGAAGAAATCATATTAAATCATTTAACACAGCACACTTGTTCTTTTACCCACATCTCCCCACCTCCCATAACCTCTGTCATCGATTAGGTAATAATTTCAGTTGAGGCAAGCTTAAATCAGTTTGCAAGGCACCCAAATGCTATATAAGTAGACAGCACATTTTAAAGCTAGCTATCCCTTGGCTTGGAAGCAGAAAAACAAGAGTCAGGATGAGAAGCATCTGGCTTGTCCTCTTTGGTGGGGCAATAGTTTTTGCTTTGCCTGTAAAACACGAAAAAGAAAAAATGGTGCTTATGCAGGTAAGGCCAAAGATACAAATGGAAGTGTGTGTTGATGTAAGGTAATTATATATCTATAATAATGTAAGAAATATAAGCAATAGCAATAACATTTAAACTTTACAGTGCCATTAACATTACTGATCTAATCATTATTTTTTATTCCTCACACACAAACACACATAAATACCTACACGTAATTATTTTGTTCTCTCCCAGAAGTATATAGAAAACATGGGATTAATGAAAATAGAGAAAGGTGAGAAAAAGATGCGAAAAACCCCCCTCTTGCAAAGATTGAAAGGTGATAGCTTCTAGGAATATAGAAGTATCTATCTATCTATCTATCTATCTATCTATCTATCTATCTATCTATCTATCTATCTATTTAGACGTCTAGACATCTAGACATCTAGTATTACACAATAGTGTTTTACTTGGACCTCAGCATATGTGTTATATTTATAAACAAACATCTAAAATTCTAAAATGTAATTTAAAATCTATGTAAAATATAATGGAAAATGTAACTGCGTTTAAATACCAAAATATTTTCTTACAAAGAGGACTTATCAAGAATAATAGTTGGGCTATTCACATTCATCCCAGGAAGCATTGTGGACATTTAAAATGATGAAAAATATGGGAGGATCTGTCCTAATTTTTACATCCAGCTCAATGCTGTAATGGAGTACAGAAAGTAGCAAGTGTTGTTATCATCTATAATATCTTTATTCTACCATGATGCTAGATAGATTGCTGATATTTGAATATTTGTCCTCTAATTTCTATCTTTTATAAAATTTGGAACAAGTACAACAAAAATGATGTGCTCATATGTGCCTTAAATAACTGCTGTAGATAACGGATTTGACCAGAAGCTTCTAAATCATTCTAAAATATAAGCAAATTAATTAATAGATTTATATATATATATATATTCTATTTCAGAAGTACCTAGAAAAATATTACAACTTTACATCAAATGGACAACAAGTCTTTAGAAGCAGAATCAGCAACCCCATGGCAAAAAAGATCAGAGAAATGCAAACATTTATTGGATTAGAGGTGACAGGTGATATAGACTCCAATACACTGCAGGCAATCCAAAAACCCAGATGTGGAAACCCAGATGTGGGCCAATTTGCCTTCTTTGCAGGTCAGCCTAAGTGGCAGAAGAAACATCTAACCTACAGGTAATCTTTCAACTCAAGTTCTCAAGGGAAAGGTTGACATAATTCATATTGATGCTAAAAGGAAAACCTCCTTCTGAATTTGGGTCCTGTTTATTTTTTCAAAGGATACTGAACTATACACCAGATATGGAAATAGGCATTGTTGACAAAATCATTGAGAAAGCTTTTAAAGTTTGGAGCCAAGTTACGCCTTTGACATTCAAGAAAGTTCCAAATGGCAATGCTGACATATTTATCTCTTTTCATTCTGGAGGTAAATAAACTATTACACATATATAATCTAATAATATGTTTCATAAATAAGGGGCTTATGGAAATAATTAATGCATTCGTAATTCTTACATCAGGACTTTTCTTAGTCTTAGAACTTTTCACTTGCCAAATGAAATACACTTTCTATCGATAGTATTTAGATTTTTTAACTATTGAATATACATCTCATTTCAGAATTCTAGAGCTTGAACATCAACACTTAGAAGTGTATTGTGTCCTCATAAATAATCACACCTAACTGGCATCTAACATTTGTTTTCCTAGTGCAAAGGTTTTTATTAGAATTCCAGTGTTTATTACTAAAATGACCCCAAGGTAACTTCACTGAAATGAAGCTTATCTCTCCCCATAAAAAAGTAGACATAAACAAAATTATGTACCCAAACATCTTGAGCAATGATATACATCTATATGTAGCTCCATTTATGCAATAACTGATCCCTCTTTCATTTTGCAGTGACTTTTTTAAAAAACATGTATATCCTTATCTTCACAAACTATCTTGTTAAGATCATAATTTGTTACCCCCTCTCCTCCCCAATAACTGGCAAAATTGACAATGATGCTGTACTGACAAAGTTTGTTTTCTTGCTGGGAGATCATCATCTGTGTTTGTGTTCAGTAAATTTCAGTTCATGTGATCCTCCTCATTACTTCTGATGAATCTAAGCATAATTTTATGCACCTTCAGTTTTGCTTAAAGCTGATGAAAAATGAAAGACAGAAAGTTGAGTATTATTGTAGAGTAGATGGCATATTACAGGAAATCTATTTTGGAAGTTTACACAAAAACACTAACTCATCTCAGGGACTAAAACAATGCCTGAGACAAGACAATAATTATTTTTCTGGCATATTTAGTTCATGGAGATTTTTATCCTTTTGATGGACCTGGTGGAATACTTGCCCATGCCTACGCTCCTGGTCTTGGCATTGGAGGAGATGCCCATTTTGATGAAGATGAATTCTGGAGCAATGGTGTAGAAGGTAATACTAAAGATAAAAGATTTGAGAACAAAATCATATTAAAAAGTTGTTTTTAAATATCTCAAAGATGCTTTTTCAAAAGGCAACTGGACTATGTTTTTCCTTGAAGACAATTTACTTCTCATCCAAGAAGCTTCTTCAGTTCTGAAGCTTCTGGAATGAGAAGCAAAACATTTTCAAGGATAATCAAAGTCCAGTTGTCTTCTGAAAAAGCATTTTTGGGACAACCAGGACCTGGTTGACTGAGAATCTCCATAGATGTTCTTAAAAATCCTTGTTCTCAAGAACAAACTTGCACAGAAAAATAAGATTTATAGTGACAGCTTACCAAAATGTGATGATAATTTTGATCAAACAATGATTCCTCTCACAATTGCAGTAGTTTAAAGCAATAAAATTTGTACATATTAGAAATGCTATTATAGGAGATTTTTGACTGTAGATAAGTAAAATACGATTGTAATGATAAAAGCAGGAGCTGGCTTGGGGCAGGGGCCACAAAATATAAAAATTGTTAAAATGACAAACTTGTCATTTAGATCTTATGGCGTTTCATATGAAAATGCAGAAATCTCATTTCAATGTTTTGGCAAGAACAACATTCTTCTAAGAATAGCAAAATGTGGTGATTGTGTAAGATTTCAGCCACACTTTTGAAATAAAATTTTAATTTAATTTTGGAGATTCGTACTTGTGATCAAGAGGATGTTATAGGTAGCATCTTATGAACTTGTTAGCAAAACAAAAAACAAGTAGGGAGGGGGGAAGGTGAGAATGTAATTAGAACTAGAAAAAGACACTTGTATGAATATCTCTCACAGAGAATTCTAAATAGTATTATAGAATTGTGCTGCCAGCCAGAACATAGTTTCAAAATCTGAAATGTGCACATTACTTTTGAAACCCCAAACCATATCCACATCTTCCTGAAATGAAGTAGTTTCATAACTTTCAAGCAGTATTAATACACATAGAAAGATTCAGGCAGAAGAAGGCAAGATTTGAGTGACTATAGTGGAGGATCACCAAAATGCTGGTGTTTTACTTTTATATCCAGCAGGAAGGTGGAGGATTAAAGTCACACAAGTGGCAAGCCTAAGTGTTTTGGGGGGGTTGGGAGGTGCCTACCCAATGCTTAAGTGCCTTATTTTTTTTGTTTTCAACTATATTGAATATTTAGTGAACATTTCCAGTATTCATCTATATGACACCAAGAGGAAGCCATAAAATCACAGAAGAATACAAGCAATTAAAATAAAAGAGGGTGGAGAATTCATAAACCTGATGGGACCAGGGCTAACAATTCATGAATTACACAGATCCATAAATATCTATTACTGTGACTTTTTTTTCCTTAAAAGTATTCCTTGTTATTTAGAAAAAACGACAAGGGAGCAACAATTAATATTTACTGTATCTAATAGTTGATTGCATCTAAGATTTTGAATGTGTATTTATATTATGATGCTTCTTATTACCCATGTAGGTACCAACTTATTCTATACTGCTGTTCATGAATTTGGCCATTCCCTCGGACTCTTCCATTCTCAGGATCCTAATGCTGTGATGTACCCAGTCTATAAGAAGCCTGAGGCAAATCAACAGATTCTATCTCAGGATGATATTAAAGGCATCCAGTATCTCTATGGTAATTTACAAATGCATATAGTCCAAAATATTGTAACTTTTAACAATTTGTGAACTGAGAAAGAACTAAGCTCAGAGTCAGTTATCTCAAACGTCTGCATCTTTTAAGTCTGATCAGCATGTAGATAATGAAGCACCAGCTTTTCCCCAGCCTAAGATGATTCTGGACTTTATGCAAAACTTTATGTAAATTGTATGCTTAATCAACAGGGAAGGATTTTTTTTCCCACTACTACTTTTATGCATCTGATGTTCTTTTTAGGAGCATCATCAAATCCACCTCAAGACCCAGTGGAAAAGGATGAACCAAGTAAACCCAACAGCCCAGGCAAACCAGTATTACTATCTGCTTGCAATCCTGGCTTGACATTTGATGGTGTGACCACTTTTCGGGGAGAAATAATGTTTTTCTGGAATAAGTAAGGCCCGTAATTTTCAACCAGAATCATTATCTTTTCTCTCTCTCTCTCTCTCTCTCTCTCTCTCTCTCTCTCTCTCTCCCTCTCCCTCTCCCTCTCCCTCCCTCCCCCCCTCTCTCTCTCATACACACACGCACAAACCAATAATGCTAAAAATGGCAAGAAAGTTGCAAGTTGTGGTTACAAGACCACAGACTTTGCAACGGGTGGTAAATCCAAGCTGATTGCCAAATGTGATCACATGATTGTGGGGGGGAGGCAGTCCTAATTTCAAGGAGAGGTTATAAGTCCCAAAAGTCCTACCTTTTTTGAAGTCCATTGTAACTTTGAATAGTCATTAAGCAAACAGTTGTAACTCAAGGGCTCCTGAAATATTTATATATTTTTGATTAATTCAAGGCTGTAATCATACTTAATAACCCTACCTTGGGTTTTAATGCAAAAGTTCTATGAAATTATCCTATGGGCTGCATGCAGCCAGAAGATAACGTTACTTTTCCATGATCTGCAGTGTTAAAAATTTAATAATCAGTCCTAATATCAAATAATGCCCTGAATGCCTGATAGCATTAAAAAACGTCTTTCCCAGCATCTTATTTTTTTTCCCCTTTTCTAACTCCTGTCTCTCTCCAATTAAAGAAAAAAAATGCTGTTGCCAAGATTTGAAATTTCAGATATTAAAAGTTATTTTAAAGTGCTTTCAGAGGTGCAGTGCTTTAAAGCAAATATGTGTTTCTAATAGATATTTTTGGCGAAAACTTCCCCAGTACAGACAGATTGATTTGAATCTGGTTTCTGAATTTTGGTCATTTCTACCATCTGGAGTTGATGCTGTTTCTGAAAATAATGAGAAAGATGAGACATTTTTTTTTAAAGGTAAGCTCTTATTATATATACTAGGATTCGCCTGTCCTTGTTCTGTATTTGATTCGAAAAAAATCTGAATTTTCTTCCAGTATTTTTTTGAAAAACTGGACAAGAAAAGAGCATGCCTATGACTCTTTAAAGCAGCTACTTCTTTTCCTGGAATTGTGTGGCAGTCTTCTGCAGCTGCAGGGGACATTTTTCGAAAGATATAGCTGCTTTAAAGAGTTGTGAGCAGGGGCTAAGTGCATGGCCTCATGTTCTCTGAAATATCTCTTCAGAGTCAGATCCAAAGTGCTGTAACACAACTGCGAATTCTGGGGTAAAAGCAGGGCTTTTTTTTCTCATAGAACACCCAGAACGGAGTTCCGGCACCTTTTTTGGATGGAACCTTGTAGGGTAGGCAAGGCGGGTTGTATGACACGTGTGAGTTCCGGCACCTTTTTTTCTTAGAAAAAAAGCACTGGGTAAAAGTACCAACTTAGCAAAAGAACTGAGCATTTTGTGTTAATTTAGGGAGCAAATAATCTCAGGCAAATAACCAGTCTTTTCTAGGTTGCCAGCCCTGGCAATAGTTTATTTAAATTATAAGCACTTCTTGCAGGTTTCCTATTCATTCACTTCTAGCAATCCATTGTATTCATAATCTGCTTGATTACAGGCAACCAATTCTGGGTCGTGAAAGGAGATTATGTACTTCCTGGGTACCCCAAGCCCATTCACAGTCTGGGCTTTCCAAAAGATGTCACAAAACTTGATGCTGCAGTTTTCAGTGCAAATGAAAAGAAGACATATTATTTTTCTTCAGACAGATACTGGAGGTATGACATAAAGTCAAATGCAATGCAAGAGGGCTTACAACTGACTTTCAAATGTCTTTGGCAGCATTTATGTTGTCTGCATTTTTAAAGAAAACTTGTTAAATGTTAAATCCAGCATACATTTGAGACTCCAGCTAATAACAGTCACTTCCTTGCCTGTATATTGGATAGTTAATAATAATAATAAACTTGGAAGGGACCTTGGAGGTCATCTAGTCCAACCATCTACTCAGGCAGGAAACCCTATACCATTTCAGACAAATGGCTGTCCAGTCTCTTCTTAAAAACTTCCAGTGTTGGAGCATTCACTGCTTCTGGAGGCAGGTTGTTCCACTGGTTAATTGTTCTCACTGTCAGGAAGTTTCTCCTTAGTTCTAGGTTGCTTCTCTCTTTGGTTAGTTTCCATCCATTGCTTCTTGTCCTGCCTTCAGGTGCTTTGGAGAATAGCTTGACTCCCTTTTCTTTGTGGCAGCCCCTGAGATATTGAAACACTGTTATCATGTCACCCCGAGTCCTTCTCTTCATTAAACTAGACATACCCAATTCCAGCAACCATTTCTTATTCCCCCCCCAAAAGTAAGTAATTAATAAAAACAATGCAGACCATTCGTATGCATACCTCATTTTATTGACAAGTGGCAATGTGTTGCACTGCATTATATATTTAAAATATTATGGCATTATTTCATTTCCAAATTGATTAGTGCCCTCTAATGGTAGCCACAGATATTATTTGATTACTGGACAGAAAATTTTATTCCTTTCAGAAAGCAATTATTGTAGAGCTGGATTTGAGGAATGAAAACTAAGTTGAATTACAATACTTTTGATGTCTATAAGTGCATTTACTGATTAAACCAATAAGGACAAAACCTCAAGTACTGTATTTTAGACTTCAACTCTAATCTATAAATAATACAGATTAGTAATAGCATCAACCTTGAATACAGAAGGTCCCAATTTTAATTTCTGGCATCTCCAGACAGAATGGAAAAGACTCTGGTCTTAGTTGAGAAAGCCTCTGTCAGAATATTGTTGGCTTTCCTTGGCTGATCAATGATCCAGCTCAGCTGGAAACAGCTTCCAATTTTCTTTCAACAAAGTAGTTTATAAGTTTCCATTGTGAAAGAAAACTTGGCTTCAAAGGAGCCTGTAGGAGATTACCAGACTGAACCCAGGGGAGGGGTCAAGCATATCATTAGTCTTTAGTCCCTTCACACCTACAAGAGATTTAAGGCCAACCTTCCTTGAATTCCATTGACTTTAGAATAGAATAGAATAGAATAGAATAGAATAGAATAGAATAGAATAGAATAGAATAGAATAGAATAGAATAGAATAGAATAGAATAGAATAGAATAGAATATCTTTATTGTCACTGTGTAACTCAAAACAAAATTTAATTCTATTTAATTTATCTACCCCCAATTTGCTTTGACTGGTAGCTCAGATTCTTGTAGAAAATGTATTATGCAATAAATCTGTATCAATTTGAACTGACTTGGCTCCTGATTTTCTGCTCTTGACAGAACTTCTAGTGTCCACTAACAAAAATTTCCACATTTTCCATATAATGATTTTCTGCACTATTTTTTGGTCAGATTTTAATCTTGAGTATTGTGTTTAGATCTGCAATGTCACTGGTTAAAAGGGATGCAGAGAAACTGAAATATGTTCAGAAAAGGGCAACAAGGGTAATCTAGGGACTAGAAACTAAGTCCTGTAATGGGACAATTAAGGAATGGAAAATATGTAGACTTGTGAAATCTGAGAAGGAATATGAGAGTATTCTTCAAAATACCTAAAAGGATATCACACACAAGGTCAAGGAAAGCCTGTTCTCTCTTGTTCCAGAGTGCAGGACATGGCACAGTAGATATAAATTACAGGAAGACATTCCAAATGTTAGAAAAACTTCCCAACAGCACTGTAACAGTGAAAATATTATCCAAAGAAGTGGTGCCTTCCCTCCATTTCAGGTAGAAGCCTTCTGCCTGGGATACTTCTGTCACCTTTCACCATGAGATGAGTGACATTTAAATTTTATTTGATAAATAAACAAATACTTTAATTTAGATTTCTTTTCTGAGTGTTGAACTTGGAGGCCTAAATAATTTCTTCCAACTCTATGATTCTAACTCCAATTTTGGTTTGGCTTAAGTTTGTTCCTTTTTCCTTCCTTTTCTAAGTTATGATGAAAACAGCCAGACCATGAACAGGAAACCCCAAAGGATCCAAGATGGCTTCCCAGGTATCACAGGCAAGGTTGATGCTGTCTTCCACTACAATGGTAAGGAACAACTCTTAAAAGACCTGAGTAGGGATTTTTTTTTACCAACACTGCTTTCTTTTTAAGGAAACATAAACAAAGGACAATTGACTTGAGAATGATTTGGACAAAGGTCCATAATCAGAAGCTCTGAAGGGCTTAATGAGTTAGCTATGTCCTCCAGGATTCCTACATAAGGGTATTTTTTTTAAAAGGGTATATTAGAGAAACTGTAATTAATCTTTGTGTATTACAATTTATAGGCCACTCTAGTCAGAACAAATCTTGAGTGGCCAATTTAATACATGCAATTCTAAAATATATAATATAAAATTTAATTCACTTTTAGTTTAAAATTTATATTTGTCCGCTGATTTCAATGCAACCCACTCTTTGCTCACTAAAGAATTGTGCCCCCCACTCTAGTTTAGATGAGTAACACAAATCTTAATCCTTTCCATCAATTCTCTCTAAATTTTATTGCTTGGAAAATGTGGACAGAATCTATCAGAAAAATCATTTCAGGCAAGTGTGTTGTATTTCTGCTGCATTTCTATACTTGCTAAATTTATAATTAATGTGCCCCCTGGTAAGTATTTTTCCATTTGTTGAAACTGTACATTATATTCATGTATATTTGCTTTCCTTCCCCTTTGTAGATGTATTGTATTTCTTTAAGGGAACACATCAATATGAATTTGATCCTAACACCAGAAGAGTTACTCGGATCCTGAAGGCCAACAGCTGGTTTTCATGCTGAGAAGATAAAGAAAAAAACTATTGAAACATAACTGGCTACTTTACATTGACTGTAATCTAGCATTGTATGTGAGAGAGAGGGGGGAGGAGAGAAAATATAATGTAATGTAATGCAATGTAATGTAATGTAATGTAATGTAATATAATATAGTAATATAATATAAGTACAATATATGTGGCATTCTATTGATAGGAATTATTAAATCAGTAGTGCTATATATATAATTGCTGCAAGATTATTATATGCACAAAAAGGGAAAGATTAAAATCCTGCAACAGAGGAATGAATGGTGAAGATGGCAGAATTAACAGAGATGACAAAATTGATGAATGTTATTGTATTGTTTGTTTGTTAAGTTATGTTGTGTTTTTATTGTAAACTGCCCGGAGTCCTGTGGGAGTGGGGCGATCTATAAATTTTAATAAATAAATAAATAAATAAATAAAATTTTTCTGATTAGAGAAAGATAAAAACCACATTTATTAGTAACAGGAAATCCCTCATGGACTTTTTCTGAAAAAAAATTGTGATTTATGGTTTAGAGGATCAGAAAGAGTAGATTTTGGAAAGAAGGAAATTATGTTGTTCAGAGAGAGAGGGGGGGGGAGAGGTGGTAAAATATAATTGCTACTAATAATTGCTATTTCCAGAAACTGCATCTTATAACTTTTACTTTCCTTCCTTTTTCTTCTCTACTTCTTTCTTTGAACCTTTTCACTTACTATTTTTCTTTCCTTTTTTTCTTTTAAAATTTGTATTGTTCTTATTTCCTTAATTTTTTAAAAAATAAAAATTATATATATATAAAGAACTCAGCCATCCTGTCATCAATTCATCTTATATAAGGATGATAAAACAACTGTGCTGAAAGACCAGGTTCTGCTAAATTGTCCTGCCAAATTTTTAAATGGAAGCCTACATGCAGTTCAGACAGGGGATTGCAATAAAAAAGTCACAGTAGTGGATGCCACTGTATGATTTGGGATGACAACTATCATTTTATTACAAGTAAAATAAAAAAATAAGGCTTCAATGGAGCCATGACCATGCACTTCACTTTTTTGACGCTCCATGGATATCTTTACCCACTGTTATCTGAAGAAATGAAAGTGTTCATGCTACACACAGGCATTTAGCCAGTGGTGGGATTCAAATATGAGAACAACCGATTCTCTGTGTGGATGCCACTTCTGGAAGTCCATTCTGGGCCTGGGCAACAAAAAATTAGCTACTGGTTCAGCCGAACTGGTGTGAACTGGCTGAATCCCACCACTGCATTTAGCTATCTGTACAATCAAATGGCACCCATTCATACCCTTCCCAGCCTCACAGAAAGACTAACTTAATTATTCTGCCATGTCTGGCAGAAAATCTGGTAGATGTTCTTCTCATCCATTACACAATAAGATAAATAAATAAGAAGATACTTTGCTGCCCTTTTAAGACATCCAAATTTGACTGTTTGAATAGGCTACCTCAGTGTTTCTCAATCTTGACACTTGAAGAGGTATGAACTTTAACTCCTAGAATTCCTCAGTCAGCATGGCTGGCTGGGAAATTCTAGAATTTGAAGTCTACACCTCTTTGAGTGGCCAAGGTTGAGAACCATTGGGTTTCCTCATTCTGCCTAATACAGGGGTTCTCAACCTTGGCAACTTTAAGACTTGTGGACTTCAACTCCCAGAATTCCTCAGCCAGCAAAGAATTCTGGGAGTTGAAGTCCACAAGTCTTACAGTTGCCAAGGTTGAGAACCCCTGGCCTAATGGAAAGCCTATCTCTCTTAACAAAAGGTTTATTATATCCATATATGTAACTGAAAAGCGGATTTAGGAGAAAAGCTTTTACATCCAGTGGTACATAAAAACTTCAGGAACCACACAAGTGATCAAGATGGAGTATCTATTACAGTATGCATAATATTATAAAGTTAGATTATAGATTGGTTTTGTAATCTCTGGAAACTCCTAAAATAGCTGGAAAGGACCCAAAGTATTTCTTCTAAAACCCATCACCCAAGATACAGCTCCAAGACAAATAAATCCATTCGGTCATGGTAATAAAACTCTTCCAGGCATGCATTGTCACATATATTGCAATGTAACAGGGAGAAAACATTGTATAAATCTTTTGGTGCTTGAAGTTCATTATTCCATTTTTAATGGAGTTCCATCAATACTGAGCCCTACTTTAACACGTCACAGTTGTTTAGCATAAACGGTTGTTTATTTGTATATACTTTATTTTTTTAAAAAAATGACAGAATTATAGAGTTGAAAGAGAAGTCTTCTAAGCCAAGCAGGAGACTCTATACCACAGGTATCAAACTCGATCACATCACGTAACGTATCGTGATGTATCTTGACAGGTTTTGTCTTTGCGGAGCTGTGGTGGGCATGGCTTGTGCGTGACACATCCGGCCCATGGATTGCCAGTTTGACACCCTTGCTCTATAGCATTCCAGACAAGTGGCTGTCCAGTCTTTTCTTAAAAATCTTCAGTGATGGAGCACTCATAGCTTCTGGAGGCAAGCCTTCCCACTGATTAATTATCCTCACTGTCAGGAAATTTCTCCTTAATTCTAGGTTAGATCTCCAATGATCTTCCACCATTACTCAGATGCTATGGAAAGTAAGTCAACCCCTCTTCTGTGTGACAGCCCCTCAAATATTGGAACATTGCTATCATGTCACCCCTAGTCTTTCTCTTTATTAGACTAGACATATCCAGTTCCTGCAACCATTCATCATAAGTTTTAGCCTTCAGACCCCTAGTCATCTTTGTTGCTCTTCTCTGCACTCTTTCCATAGCCTCAACATTTTTTGTATCATGGGGACCAAAACTGGATGCAGTATTCTAAGTATGGCCTTACCAGTTCAATTCAACTTGATTATTCAACAATAAAGTACATTTTGGTGTGATATTTATGGTGAGAAAGAGAAATTTAGTGGAAACACCTATAACGTGATTTGAAGTATCTGAAACGTTTTTGCTACATCCATGCAGGAATATACTCATGTTTATTTTACAGAAAGATTGGTTGGATATTAGAAGAAAATTCTTGAAAGGAACAATTCCACAATGGAGCCATTTGGATGGCTCTCGCACCAAGCCATAATTTCATCTAAATTGTGTTTGCATGACATCACAACAGAAATACAAAAGAGTTTTCATTATGACCCCATGAAGCACATTTGATCATGTGTCTCCTTTTCCCAAACACCCAGTAGTAAATATCTGGATTGGAGATCCTTTCCACACTTGAGCAATTGAAGCCAAAGGGGGGCATATAACAGTGGAGAATTGCTGGGTTTCCTGGATTAAGTTGAAGGTTGAAATTAATTGTTTACAGTATTCTTTCCAGTTGTAGGATTGTATTATCTTTCACTAACAAATATATTAATTACATTATTGTTACAATACCAAATGATGAAAGCATGATAGATAAAAAAATGATCTGTAAAGATGGATAGTGAGATAGCCAAAATTTGGTGGAAAGATAGCTTAAACATTAAATTTATATTTTGTCTTTTTTACTGTTCATGAAAACTGAGGAACACCCGAAGCTACTTTACACTAGCTATATTCACACAACATTTAAATCAGGTTAGGACAACATACCAAATTTGATCAGTATTAACCTGAGATACCATATTTTCCGGCGTATAAGACTCGGCGTATAAGACGACCTCCGACTTTGGTGCAGATTTCCATGCCTAGAAAGTCATCTTATACGCCGGAAACTACCGTAATTTCCAGCGTATAAGACGACTCGACGTATAAGACGACCCCCAACTTTTGCGCCAATTTCCATGCTTTAGAAAGTCATCTTATGTGCCAGAAAATACGGTAAGTTTTATATGGCGTAGCAAATTACGACCATTTATTTGATTAGTTTACAATTTAATGTGTCATGCAGCACCAGAAAATGGATTGAAGTAATAATCAGATTCTATATTGTATGAACACAACTATGGAACCAGATCATTGGTTCATCTACCTTGTCTGTCTGCACTAGCTCCTGGTTGCAGGCTATCTCAACTGGGACGTTTTGGTGTACCATTAAACTCAGTGAAACTATGACCTCCCCTAAGCCATTTAAAATAACTGACAAGATCCAGACCTATGAAGAAAATATCATCATGAATCTTTAAGGTCTAATGTTTATACCACATTCTTAGACTAGTTCCTCCATGCAATTACTAGAATGAGGCATGTAATCTTCAGTCTTTCTATTTGCTAAAATTTCTCAGAAATAGTCATTTCTCCAGTCCAGTCTAATGTGTTTATAAGTCATTACTAAGATAGGGAAACTTCCCTTGCATCACTGCCCTTATATTATTCACATCCAGTGGAGCTTCCCAGGGCTTGTTGAAACTTACTAGAAGCAGGCAACTATTCCTCCAACAGCAAAGAAAGAACTTCAAACGTACATATTCAAGCACTTTCTTCTCTAGATAGAGCTGTGGGAGAAAAAGGATGTTTTCTGGAAACTGCATAACTGTTACAGTAGAGAGTAGAGTATTTGACTACCAGAAGGAATTGACATCCAGATTACAGGTGTATTGGGTGAACAACAGAAAGGCCTTCTGACACAGGGGGGAAATTTTTCTATGATAGGAGTGTGTGATAGATTAACTTAGCTCCTTAGAAATTGTCAAAAAAAATCAATTTGTAGAACAAAGGAGAAAAAAGTATAATGATTTAAGAAATTGGTCTGCTCAGGAACATCCCATGTCTAATCTAATCCTCTAAATGGCCATTGTAGCAGATTTCACTGAATTAGAATCAATAAAGGGATGAAATGCAGACTAATTCACTAACTATGGAGTGACCTGATGTCAGTTTTCTTATCGTAATTCATATATTAATCAGTTCATCAGTACAAGACTGTTTTGTGTCATAGCGATTTTGTGAATCTAGATAGCACAATTTATCATCTCAATCTCAATTGCTACATTTTCCTTCTCCTTTTAACTCTTTGCTCCCATCTGCACAACCACAGATGTATATATATTCTTCCCATAGGATGATATTCTATTCATCTGATGAAATGCACAATTATTCTACAAATTCTTGTATTCTAATAACTGCATTCATCTTTATGATGCCACAGAACAGTGAGGATTTTTCCTGCAATGGATTAACATTGCTACTCCTTCTCTAGAAATTCCAGCTATACAGTGCAAACCTGGAAGAGATATTAAGGAAAAATAGTGTGAAATCCTTCATATAATATATTAATAAAATTTTGTTCATCAGTGCATGCACTGACTAAAGAGATACTTTCCTATTTTATGCAGCAATGTTTTCAACATCTGGCTGAATAGCTAGAATATATTTTCTAGAAAGTTATCCCATGTTCAGCTGCTAATTTTTACTTAAATTAGAATAGAATAGAATAGAATAGAATAGAATAGAATAGAATAGAATAGAATAGAATAGAATAGAATAGAGCTGGAAGGGACCTTGGAGGTCTTCTAGTCCAGCCCCCTGATCAAGCAGGAGAACCTATACCGTCTCAGACAAGTGAATGTCTAGCCTCTTCTTAAAAATTTCCAGTGATGGAGCACCCACGATTTCTGGAGGCAAACTGTTCCACTGGTTGAGTGTCCTCACTGTTAGGAAATTTTTCTTAATTCCAGGTTGCTTCTCTCTTTGATCAGTTGCAGGATTATACTGTATATTTCTGTTTTCATCATTTCTATGTTTCCTATTCAGACATTATTTTCCACAGCAGTTCTCCATGCAGTACAGACCACTTTAAGAAATATTATAAGTATTTTAATCTCATCATGCAGATAGGAAGTTTGACCATTGTTTTTCTACTAATTCGGAGTTTTCTCACTATTAATTAAGATGCTGAAAAAATGAAAACGAAATTAGAAAGTAGCCTCCATAGCTCTTTTGTTGCATGCTGCCTATTTTTCCTCCCCCCAAAATTAAGTGCCACAATACAATTTAGGCAGGTAGCTCTCTATTGGCTTTGCTACAAAAGGTGGGAAAAATAGTGACTAAC